AGGAGAATTTAATTTTGGGTATTATTTTACTATAAAATTTTTTGATTTAATGTAGTTTAAGAAAAACTGTTATAATAAAAACTGTAAAATCTATATGTTTTATAGTAATTTTTAATTATATTCATTAAATAAATTAATCAATTTATTACTAAAAAGTATTGACTTTTTTTAATTTTAATTAATAATTTAAGCTATTTAATAATTAATTTTACATTTTTTTATTATAAAAGCATAATATAATTTTGTGAAAATTTTGATTTTTTTAAAATTTTAAAAAGTGGCAAAAAGAATGTACCAAGTTGTTTTGATTTAATGTTATGTAATTAAAAAACTAATTAGTAAATTAATATTAAATTTTATGTTTTTTAGTAGGCCAAACCATATATTATTTAAGTTTTAAATTTTATTTTAATTGAATTTAAATTGATTTAATAAGAACAATTAATAATTTTAAAAAAGTTTGGTGCGTTTTTTTTGATGTCCACTGTATATGGCTAATATATTTGATCAATAAATACAAGTTCAGATATATATAATATATAGTATTTTACTATATAATTTTATTATATCCAGTTAAAGTTGCAAATTCTTAAATACAATTATATTACATTATTTATTTTTATATTACCTTTATTTATATAGATTAAATTTTTAGTACTATTGAACATAAATATAATCTTATATAGATTCAAGATTTTGTATTAATTAATTTAATAAATATCACATTAATTATTATTATGATGAATCTTCTTTATAATATATTCAAGAATTCTGTTAAAATTAGTAGTAAATATTATTATATCAAAATTGTCAAAATTATTTTTCTATTATTTCATCATTTGCATTTTAATTAATTTTAATAATAAAATAATTTCATTATTTTATTATGTTGAAATTATCAAATTATTTTTATTATTTTAGTAATAATCTTTTTATTTTTAGCAAATTTTATATCCAGTATAATTAATTATAAGAATCAATATAATGAGTTTTTGGTATATTCAGATTTATTATTTTAATAATGACTGTAAAGTCTTATATTTATCAAATAATAAATATTTAATAAATATTAAAATTTTATATTTATTAAACAATAAAAAAGTAAATATTTAATTTAATTATTTATTAAATATTTAATTTTTTAAATACTTTATTAATATTTTAAATTAGTATTTATAAGTATTTTTTAATATATCTTGCATTTAATAAGTATTATTAATAAATATTTCAATCTCAAAAATACTAAAACTATATGAATTAAATATTTAAAGTTTTACATAAATTGAGTTTGAAATAAAAAAAAACTAAAATATAAGAAGTACAATATTAAAAACTTTTTAAAAATCATGAAAATAGTAATCTCTTTTATTTTCAAATTATATAGAGCCAATAGAGGCAATAAGGTTTATATATTTATTATTTGTAATATTATCTTGAATTCCAGTAGCTCTAAAATTAAATACAATGATAATAATAATATTCATTAGTAAAAAATTTTATAATATTTTATAAATATTAATATATAATTAATTATTAATAATAGATTAAAAGAAATAAATATTGAAATCCATACTTTTTCCATATTGTAATTAACTTTTAACTACTGATTAAATTCAAAGAATCAATTTTGGTATATTTGTACTTTCTTCATTCTTTTACATCTATTATTGAGGATTTAATACTTTTTGTTCTTAACATCATGCAAGAAGATCTTATAATTTATTGAAATATTTGAAACTTGAATTGTATTTAAATGAGTCAAGCAACATTTTAATTATTTTATGGTATGATATATGGTAGGAAAGGATTAATAGAAGAATAATATGTATCATACTGCCTCATGAGCTTTCACATTAAGATTATTCGTAGATAAAGCAATATTTTTAATTTTCAAAAAATCTGAAAGTAAATTATGAACAATAAGCACTAATGTTTAAATCGGATTAATTGTTCAGTTTATTTAGCACAAACATCAAATTAGCAAGATCATTTTCAGTCATATCGAATATTAGTGAATGTAACGACCTAACTGGAAAATGTGTAGAGAAAGGATCTTCCACTCTGAAACCTAAGCGGATGTAAGAATACTACTTCTTTGAGAATTGTCAGTAATAAAATAAGAAGGTTGAATAACTGGGAAAACCATGAAACTGTGATAAAGCTAAAGCAATATGAATCTGCTATTTTTCTTTTTCTGAATAGCTCAGACTCCACTTTCTTCAAAGAGAAATTGGTGGCAAAATATCCATAAAGGAGCTTTATTTATCTGAAAATTGATTACGTGAGAAATCTATGCAAGCGCACATGACCGCACTGTTAACGATCATTTCTAAAATCGCTGCAATATCACATGTTAGGGCGTTAATAACTATTTAATTATTTAATTTAAGAAAAAAATTAAGTACACTACGTTTTAATAATGGGCGACTTACCGCCTCGATACGATGGTACTCTTCATCCGGAAGTATGGGTTCAGGACTTGCGTTTCTTTTGTGCTCTCCGGGGTATCCACGATCAAGCCACTGTTCTGAGTATTGCAATTCTAAGAATAGATCATAATATTCTAATCCCTAGAGACATCGACTCATTTAATTCGCTTGTCAGTGTTCTCAAAGACCATGTCACTCATTCTGTATTCCGTGCTGTTTCTCTTGAGAAACTTAATAAATTAAAATGTGAGAGTAATGGAGATATATCTAAATTTATTGCGAAGTTCACTTCCCTCAGTAGCAACGCAAACATCACCGACCAGGAAGAGAAAAAGAGTTACCTACTTCGAAACATGCCAAACGATATTGTTCGGGATGTCCTCAGGAGCCGAATTGAAAAATTAAATTCATTTGATAAGGTAATCGAAACTTTCAAAGACGTGATGCTTGAACATAGACGACAGGTTCGCTACGGCTCCAAAATTGCACTCAAACATGTTGTTACTGGACGTTTTTTGTCGTGTATAAAAGGTATGAGATATGATACCGGGTTCAAACAGCATATGGTTAGTACATAATGAAATGTCTATAGAAAATTACATTAATATACTTTTTTGGTTAATTAACTTGTTTCACGAAAAATCCAGGCATTTTGTAACAGTTGGCAACCAGATAAACTACAAGATCTTTGGATTGTAATCCCAGCTTGTGAACAACATGTCAAATCGGGCAATCCGGTACCATTCAATTCTGTTATTGGATTGAAACATCAACAGTCAGGTCTAAATCTGCATTCTCATGATATAGATTCACCACCAACTAAGTCACCAGTAACTAAACAACAAGAAGGTAAATAATCAACGAAAATTTTTCAGTGTGAAGTAAATTAATAAATGACGAGATGAAATTTTTATATTATAGTTACCTGTTATGGAAGAGTAATGGAATGGAATGGTCACGATGGCCCTCCAGACGTTAACGACAACTGGCTACTACAGCGCCATAGCACAACCTCCAATTATGACAATTCAGGATATTGGGAAGTTGGTGACATAATTAGTCTGCGACATACTAACACAAAAAGGTCGCTTTCGAGCCATGATTTCATGATGAATAATGGATTCCAAGAAGTCACTTGTCACGCCGATGGCCATGAAGAAAACCATAAGGTAAGGTTAAGTTTTAGTTATCCAATAATATATGATCAATTACGATAATTTGATCGTTTTTATTCATAGTGGTGCGTGGAAGTTCTTGAATAAAAATTATGAACATAATTCTCCCGTTTTTATATATTATTTTATAAGGAAAAAATATTAATGAAGTCATAAAGTTAAAAGAACAAAATACATTAGTATTTTGTACATAATTAAAATATGGATGACGAGCCAGATTAATTTCCTACTCATTGCGGTAACACCCATCATATTTTAATAACCATTGTTTGCTTTTGCGTAACAATTTGCCAGAGGTAAAAAGACAAATTAATATGCTTTCGGCTCGCAACTAAAAATTCTGTAGCAGTTTAAGTTAGATTTTAGCATTAAAAGTTTAATAATCAATATCGCATTTTCATTTACATAGAGTTTGAGAATAATTTTTATAGAAAAGAATAAAATATAACGTGAAAGTTTTTCTAAATTACATGTTTAACATGAAAATATAAATTATAACTTTCGAAACTGTTTAATTATTCATAAAATCAAAATTATTATTATTTATCCACAATTCATTCATTACAATGAATTTAATGACCTAGGATAGTAAGGAGATGCGTTTGCTTATTAATGTAAATATATTTAGCTTTTTATTATTTATTTAAAAATGATTTTATAAATAGGCTAATAATCGTTTTTGTTAATAAAAAATAAAAGTAAACCAACTTATTGGTAGAATCTTTTCTTTAAAAAAACATTTTATGGAAAAATTGAAAATTTGAAAATTTTCTTCTTTTACTCTTTTTTTAGACAGGTTCATATGTAGGTTGACTTCTAAATAAAAGAAAAAACGATTTTATCAATAATCGTTTTATTTACCAATAAAAAAAAAGATTTTATTGATAAAATGTATCGTTTTTCTCTAATTTTATATGTCATACTGTATTTTTGATCTTTACTCTCGCAAAAGTATCATTCTTGATAGACATGAGGTATTATTCTTGATAGATTTTACTGTAAAAATATATTATGCATATCAAGATTCTCCTGCATATCTATCAAGAATGATATTTTTGCATCGGCCTGACCGATCCTTAATTAAAGGCAATAATCAGTAGATTTTCAAAAAATCGATTTTTAACCTATTTCGATTTGTGATATTCACGGTCTATCAATGTTCTAAAAGACAACGAAAATTTGCTTTGTGACGAGAGTAGTAAACTAAGTTTTGTCCAAATAATGGAATTCATTGTATCCTTTCTCACAATGAGCCAGGAATTAAAATTTGGTGAATTGTTAATGACTTTGTAAGATGTTACATATTTGCTATATTAATAACAATTAAGGTAATTTATCATTTACAGAATACTATTATATGAATTTTTCGAATCAGTAATTATGAATAAATAAACTATTGAAAATCATAGTTTCGTCTTCCAGAACTTCTATTATTGGGTTCTAATCTCTGTTCTAGTTTTATTTATTTATGTTAATTTCTTAAACAATTATGCTAAACTAATTGTTAAATTTTTCTTAAACAATTATGCTAAACTAATTGTTAAATTTTATCACTATGCAAATTATTAACACTTTCACTATTAAATAAGCCTTTAAAAAATTTTCTACACTCTAAGCTTTAAATAATTGGTAAAAAGTATATTATTTAAGGTATAAAATTTTAACGTAATTTGGTTTGCTTTAATTACTAATGATAGGCCTTATGTAAAAATAGTGCAACATTTGATATGCTCTCAAGAAATCTTTATAATCTATCAAAGGCTTTATGCATATCACAAAGTTCATATTGCAATTTAAATTGTATTAAACTGCCTCACTATTAATTGTCAAAAAAACTGTTTGAACAAATCTGAAGTTTAATTACGAACAATTAACACTAACGTTCAAATAGAATTAAGTTTTCTGTTACTTCCTTTGCTTAGCTAAATCATCCTAAAATTATTAGAAAATTTAATGGCTCAGCGGGAAAATATTGTGAAAAACATTGCTATAAGATATAAGGATTTCGCTTTGGAATCCTCAGTGGATGTTGTTTATGTGGAAGAGATAGCAGAATATTTCATTCAGTTGAAAATTATTTTGGTAAAATAAGAAGGTTGACTAGCTAGGAAAACTGTGAAACTGAGATAAAGCTAAAGTACTACTTTTCTTTCTCTAATTCTTTCTTGTCTACTTCTATTGTAAAAGACTTATCTTACTTATCTCTGCATTCTTCAAGAAGAACTATTATTATCAATTAGTGTAATACGGTAGTAAAATTGCTTGTGTTGGCAAGAATATCTATAAAGGTACTTTATTTGTAACCATTTAAAATTAATGTCTGGAATTTAGATTCCACTGGAAGTATAACAAGCTTTTAATAATGCATAATATATGATTAGTTTTATATCATCGAACTTTATTAATATCAAGTTAGCATTATGTAAGTCTATTTAAATTCTAAACATTAAATGCCTGCCTATATGATATATTTTTTCTACTGATTTGTGTAATATAAATTACTGCATTATCATATGTTAGAGCGTTAAGAACTATATAATTAAGAAAAATTTAGCCACATGAAGTTATAATAATGAATAGAGAATTTACCGCTTCGATATGATGAAACTATTCAGCCGGAAGTATGGGTTCAAGGCTTACATTTCTTTTGTGCTCTCTGGGGTATCCACGATAAAACCACTGTTCTCACTGGTTAAAATCAATTCTATCGGATACATATCAGGTACCTATATATTAGTGGCTAATCAGATAAACATCAGTATTTTTATATATCAGGTACCCGATAACTAAGCTATTAATCACTGATATTGTATATCGGGCATTAATCTATCTTACACATATCAGGTACCCAATATGTAAATTTTAATACGTAAGATTTTTATTTTGTATAACATATTGTATTATATATAATCCGTTTCAACTAAAATTTTTCATTTTTTAGATAACTTTTATAAATAATTTTCTAAGAAAGTTTAAAAGTCTATTTGAATAATATTTAATAGGGATTTTATTTAAGAAACTTTTAGATAGATTTTTTTTAAGAAATTTTTTAAGAGTCCGTTTGGAAAAATTATTTTTTTAACTAAGAGGATCATTTAGAGCATTTTTGATAGAGAATTTTTTAAAGATTTGTTTGGAGAGATTATTTTTGAGAATTTTTTAACTAAAAGGACCATTTGAAACATTTTTTGATAGAGAATTTTCTAAGAGTTCGTTTAGGAAAATTATTTTTTGTATTTTTTAATTAGGGGGATTGTTTAGGGCATTTTAGAATTTTCTAAGAATTCGTTTGGAGAGATTGTTTTTGAGAATTTTTTAACTAAAGGGAACGTTTGAAACATTATTGATAAAGAATTTTCTAAGAATTCATTTGGAAAATAGTTTTTTGAGAATTTTTTAACTAAAAGGATCATTTGGGCATTTTTTGATTAAGAATTTTCTAAGAGTTCGTTTAGGGAAATTATTTTTTGAATTTTTTGATTAAGGGGATCGTTTAGGGCATTTTTTGATTGAGAATTTTCTAAGAGTTCGTTTAGGAAGATTATTTTTGAGAATTTTTTAACTAAAAGGACCGTTAGAATATTTTTTAATAGAGAATTTTTTTAATAGAGAATTTTCTAAGAGTTTGTTTGGAAAAAATATTTTTTGAGAATTTTTTAACTGAAGGTAGTATCATTTGATAGAGAAATTTCTAAAAGTTCATTTAGAAAAATTATTTTTTGTATTTTTTAATTAAAGGAATCGCTTAGGACATTTTTGATAGAGAATTTTCTAATGATTTGTTTGGAGATATTGTTTTTGAGAATTTTTTAACTAAAAGGATCATTTATGACATTTTTTGATTGAGAATTTTCTAAGAGTTCGTTAGGAAAATTATTTTTTAAATTTTTTAATTAAGGGATCATTTAGGGGCGTGCCAGAAATTACGTGATTTAGTGGGTGGGTGGGGGTCAGGTCCTGCAATCAGGTGTTACAATATACCTTTTATGGTAATAGTATATTTTTTATAGTAAAAATATATAATTTGTTTATTAAGAAGCTTTTTTTGCAATTATCTCACCATCTAAAAGTCCAATTTTAATGAATTTTTTTTTGTTTTATAAAGTATAAAGAGAGCTACAAAATAAAAAAAAGTTTATGCAAATTGAATTATTGAATAGTAAAATAATTGTATTATAATATATATGTAATATATAGTAATTTATTTATTAAAAAGCTTTTTTGCAATTAACTTACTATATAGTAGTTCAATTTTAATGAATTTTTTTTTGTTTTGTAAAGCATAAAGAGGTCTACAAAACAAAAAAAAAAGTTTATGCAAATTGGATTATTGGATAGTGAAATAATTGTATTATAATATATATAATATATGGTAATTTATTTATTAACAAGCTTTTTGCAATTATTTCACCATCTAGCAGTCCAATTTCAATGAATTTTTTTTTATTTTATAAAGCATAAATGGGGCTGCAAAACAAAAAAAAGTTTATGCAAATTGGATTATTAGATAGCAAACTAATTGTATTATAATATATATATTAATATAATATATTACAGTTGTCCTCCCTTATAGTCATCTCCTGTATAATCACAACTCCCTTATAAGCACATTTACATTAATCCCAAGTTACTAATAAACTTATTAAAAAACCTTCCCTTTAATCACATCATATATAATTTTTATAGTCATACCATTTTTTTATGGTCCCGAAGGATGTGATTATATGGGAGGATGACTGTATATATTATATTGTATGTATTTTTTTAGCCAATCAGAATTTAATCACATGGTGGGTAGGGGGTCAGGTCTCTAATTGAGTATAATCATGTGATTTTTGGCACACCCCTTAAGGCATTTTTTAATTGAGAATTTTCTAAGAGTTCTTTTAGAGAAATTATTTTTTGAATTTTTTAATTAAGGAAATCGTTTAGGGCATTTTTTGATAGAGAATTTTCTAAGGATTCGTTTGGAGAGATTATTTTTGAGAATTTAATATATAAATTTTAAGTTTATAGTAAGTTTATTTAATATTTTTACAATTTTAACTAGCATAGTAGACATCTTTACTTTATCACAATTTTATCGATTATTTGTTGATCATTTATTCAATTTTATCACTTCATTATAATTATTTCAGTTGAAAATCCTATATAATAATAATTTTACAGACAATTTAACATTCATTTAAATTTATTGCATAGTAAATTTATCAAAAAAAATTCTTTAAACAGTTAATAAAGTTTTACAAATTTTGTCTATGTGTATTTTAATAATATTTATAAACATTTGCTCAATGATAACTTTTTGATTACCTAAAATTCTATATGATTATTTTAGCCATTGATTCTTGAATACCTAAATAATATATTTTAAAAATTTCAAGTTTCGCCCATAAATCTGTGGCTTCGTCCGAAGCTCCAAAGTCAAATTAGTAGATAGTCAGCAAATATAGGCAAATATCAAATTATTAAAATTTCAGTTTAAGATTAACTTTAACAATATAATTTTTTTTTATTTTTCATAAATTATACTACTAAAAAAATATTAGTATAGTTTTGCTAAGCATTTTATGGCTTTAACTATAGCTTTAAAATTAATGTGACATGATATATTATATGATCAACAAATTATCGGTAAAGTGATAAAAGCATGTATTTTAACCTGCTATTAATATTTTATAATTTTTCACGTATTATCATATAATATAATTAATATCTAAATTCTGAAATATATTTATTTATATGAATAAAATATTTAATAAAAAAATACTATATATTATCTAGACAATCATCGCCTTTATTAGCATTAGGATAGAACTTAATCAAAATTAAGAATAGTATGAATATAACTCCATCCAAAATGCTATTTTAATGCTAGTAAATAAAAGAGATGATCACTAAGGCAATGTTTACACTGGTCAGAATAGTCCATTTCGTCCAAATTTCAAATTGACGAATGTTGGACGAAAGTTGATCTAATTTTGGCCGATCATTGCCAAAAAATCGTCAAAATTATTATGGACGATTTGCACAGTTCGCCTGCCACTTGGCAATCACAAATCGGCAAAAATTCATTAAAAAATTGGAAATAAACTATTCGTCAACCTTTTACTAAACATTCATCCAAATTTCAAATTGCTAAATGTTAGACGAAATTAAGTCTAATTTTGTCTAATTGTTAATGATTTTTATGTATTTAGCTTATTTTTAATTTTGTAATAACAATCAATTAATTATATTTTATTATTTTGCTTTATTAATAAAATTACACATTAAAAATTATCATATTAAATAACTAATATCTACAGTATCTGTCTATTTACACCTACCATCCACCATCCACCATCTACCATTCACCATTCACCATTCACCATTCACCATCCATTGTCAACCATCGTCAACCACCATCAACCATCGTCCACATCTCATCTACTACCCATCATCCACCATCCAACAACTTACTCAGCAATCTGACAAAAATCCGAAAGAGAAACCTACAAAAAAAAAAATAAAGAAACGGTTAGTAAACCGTTATTATTTCAATAAAAAAAATTAAGTTTCGAAATATATTTCGAAACTTACCCAACCAAAAATCCGAAGTGGAAACCTACAAAAAAAAGAAGAAACAATTAGTTAAAGTTTCTTCGATAAAAAAAAAAAATATGCTTCAAAATATGAAACTTACCCGATCCATTCAATATAAGTTCGAAGTGGAAACCTACAAAAAAAAAGAAAGAAATGATTAGTTTTTTATTAAAAAAGTTTTGAAAAGAAAGTGAAATTTTAAAACTCACCCATCTAAAGTCCAAGGATATCACAACCGACACCTACAAAGTAAAAAAATAAATAAATAAAATTAAAATTTTTTTTTTTAAAGTTTCGAAAAGAAACAAAGCTTTGAAACTCATCCGTATATCCAATACCTAAGAACCAAAGGCCGAAACCTACAAAAAAAATAAAAAAAAAATTTTTAAAAAATAATTCTTTTAAAAAAAAAGTTGCGAAGTTTTTACTTCGAAACTCACCCGTACATCCAAAGCCCAAGAACCGAAAGCTGAAACCTACAAAATAAAAAGTAAAATTATTATTCTTTTTAAAGAGTTTCGATTCTTTCACTTCGAAACTCACCTAAATATCCAAACGCCCAAGTAGAGCTCCGCACGGGTCGGGTCGGGTCGGGTAATTTGTCTGACCTGAACTGAAAAATTTTTATCAGGTCGGGTCAGGTTGGGTAACCTGCTCTGACCCGACCTGACCCGTCTGACCTGAAAGTATTCAGGTCATTTTTCTATAAAATAATATGAAAAAACGCCGTTTTGGCGATTTTTTTCATAAAAGAAGTGGGAAAAAATGCCGTTTCGGCATTTTTCCAT